CCCAAGATGTAACTTCACCTTTGTTTGAAAGAATCTCTAATAATTACATTGGTTAACAGCATTTACCTGCAATAATTCAAGGCAGGCCTTAACACAGCAAAGTCTATATAGGCCTCTCCCCAAGATGTTGCCTCTTTCTGGGCCAGGCTGAACTGCTGGCTGCTGTGAATACCCAGCCGCCTTTAGGGAAGGCTACAAGCACTGAGCATGCGCATTAACTAAGTATAGAAGGGGGGAAAGGGAGTTAATTGCCACACCACCTATTGGCAAAAGCAGGCGTGCCTGATCCCTGTATGCTGTTAACAGCTACAGAACTGCATGGGTTACATGTGTCTATGAGGAGATTCTGTGATATAAGAGAGAGAAGTATGGGAGAGTTTTGAAGAGAGTCTGTGTGACTCTGAGATGTTTTATGACAGAGTTCTGTGTGTGAAGTTTGAAGAGACAGCATGGTCTGTGTGACTATGGAATTCTGAGTCTAATTCTGTGTGAATAAGACCAACAGTTTAGTCTGTGTGACTAGAGAGTTGATTCTATTCAGTGTCAATAAAACAAAGAGACTAGCCTGTGTGGCTATATATATGTGTGTATAAGCCTGTCAGAGTGGAGTTTGAGAGACTGTTTGTAGCACCAAGCTTTCTCAGTTATATTTACAAGTTCCTTTCGTCAGCAACTGTTCAAAATAACCAGAAACCGTAAAGGTAATACCGTCTCCCCAATAAGCAAGCACCTCGCAGGGTAACTACTGGGCAGCATCAGTACTGGAAGGTGACACTAACAAATAATCTTTCAGAGACAACAATGGTGCCACTTTAGCTAACCCTGGTTAGTACTGCAGAGAAGAAGGCAGTGGTAAACTACTTCTGATCACCTCTTACCCTAAATTCCCTTTGAGGAGACAATCCAAATTGAAAAGTTATAGTTGTTTTTAAAAGAAATGGGTATGTGGCAACATCTGATTGTTTTGATGTGCAACCTGTACTCTGGACAAGAGGCTACCATGAAGATAGAACATGGAGAAGCACAACGCTTTCCAGTTGGCAAAGGTTGTCAGACAAGGATGTCTTTTTCTCTCCCTATCTGTTCAGTCTGTATGCAGAACAATATCTGGAAAGATGAAGGTGGAGTGAAAAATTGATGGAAGGAACATTAACTGTTTAAGATATGCAGATGACACCACATTAGAAGAAGAGAAGAAGAGATTGGATTTATGCCCCGCCCTTCACTTGGAGTCTCAGAGCGGCTTACAAACTCCTTTCCCTCCCCCTCCCCACAACAGACACCCTGTGAGGTGGATGGGGCTGAGAGAACTCTGACACAAACTGCTCTTTTTCAAGGACAGCTGTGCCAGAGCTTGTGACTGACCCAAGGCCACATCAGCAGGTGGAAGTGGAGGAGTGGGGAATCAAACCCGGTTCTCCCAGATTAGAGTCAGCCGCTCTTAACCACTACACCAAACTGGCTGTCATTACTGGCAGAAGATAGTGAAGACTTGAAATGACTACTGCTGGAGGGTAAAGCGGACAGGGCCAAGGGAGGGTTACAGCAGAACGTCAAGAAGACAAATAGTAGTGACTACTGGGAAAGTACACAACTTCAAGGTTGACGGTTAAGAAACTGAAATTGTTCAAGATTTTCTGTTCCTTGGCTCCATCAGCAACCCAAAGGGAGACTGGCAACCAAGAGGTCAGAAGGAGATTGAGACTGAGAATGGCAGCCATGAAGGATGTATAAAAGATGGATGTGTTGCTGGCGACCAAGATCAATCAATCAATCAAATCAATCACTTCATTACAACAGTCAGCGACTGGCAGCACAGTTTGATTAAGAAATGCAAAAGCCAGCAACCAGCAATACAGTTGGGTTGAATTTTTTTTAAAAGATAACAAGAGATAAAATTAAGTCTTAGAAACATACAGAATCATGCCAAATAACTACAAAGTCATGCTGCTAAAAGGGATTTTCGATGCTTGTAAACCTGAGCACAGAATTTAGTCACCTGTCGAGTAGTCTGGTGGTTTCTATCTTGACAGAAGATAATGAAGCTTGATTTTATTTGATCTCCCAGGAAATCTTTCTAGCGGTGGGTTAAGACTTTCCGATCGGACCTTTGTATAGTTAGGACAGTTTTAAAAAATGTGTTCTATAGAGTCAATTTCACCCAGAGAGCAAGAACAGAGCCTTAAGGGGTAACCTCCCTTCCAGCACTGCTGAAGGTAAAGTCGAACTTCTAGCCAGTGTGAATGCCCTTCTGGTGTTGGGCGACCAAGATCAGAATAATCCATACCATATTATTCCCATTCCTAGATCCGCCCTTCACTACCCAGAGGAGTCTCAGAGCGGCTTACAAACGCCTTTCCCTTCCCCTCCTCATGACAGATACCCTGTGAGGTAAAAGAAGAAGAAGAAGAGATTGGATTTATACCCCGCCCTTCACTACCCAAAGGAGTCTCAGAGCGGCTTACAAACTCCTTTCCCCTCCCCACAACAGACACCCCGTGAGGTGGGTGGGGCTGAGAGAGCTCTGACAGAAACTGCTCTTTTTCAGGGACAGCTGTGCCAGAACTATGGCTTGCCCAAGGTCATCCAGCAGGTGCAAGTGGAGGAGTGGGGAATCAAACCCGGTTCTCCCAAATTAGAGTCTGCACACTTAACCACGACACCAAACTGGCTCTCTGCATCTGAAAATGTTTGATATCTGTCAAGGAGATCAACTGAATGGTGTGCCTGCAGAGAGCCATGTAGTGATTTGTTGAAGAACAGTGTACAAAGTATTTTTCAGACTATTGTAAGCCAAAAAGACATATTGTTGACTCGGGAGGAGAGGGAATAGGTACAAGGGTGGCGAACAGGGTGAAGAAGTGTGCATTGGAGAAGCAAAGGATGTAAAGGAATGAAAGTGAGCAAGATGAGAATTTAAGCTGCTTCTCAGAAAAAGAGAGTTTGAAAGAAGAGAGATGCAAGATTGTGTTGGTGTTTTAGATAGGGATTTGCACTTGGATACATTCAGTCCCCCAAAAAAGGTTTTTTTCAGGTATATTCAGACTCTGGGTACACATTAGAGAATTCTAGTCAATACCACTATTCTAATCCCAAGTATTTCTGGAAATATTTGGGAATATTCATGGCCAGTGTTTTAAAGCACCAAACGAGGGTTTTTGGCAACATGAGGGGGGAGGGACGAGGGAAGCAGCTCTCATGGGCAAATGGGATCAGCATGTTAGGGGGAATGTGCCCGGTTCCTTCTGTTGGGATTCCCTGGTTTGATATTGGTAATTTTGGGCTTGCTGCCACATTGACCTTAGGTTCTGGTTGGCTTCTGTGGTTCTTGACATTGGTTCTGTTGGGCTTGCAACAGTGCCCCCCCCCCCCCCGCTTAAATTCCCTTCCTCGACCACGCCGACCAAGCAACAGTAATCCATGCCATGGACTACTGTGATGCTCTCTACATGGGGCTGCCCTTGTCGCTGCAGCTAGTGCAGAATGCTGTAGCCAGGCTTTTGATGGGTCTCCCCAAGTGGGAGTATATCCAGCCTGTGCTGCAGCAATTGCACTAGCTGCCAATAGCATACGGAATCTGCTTCAAGGTGCTGGTTCTTACCTTTAAAGCCCTATTTGGCCAGGGTCCAGCATACCTGCAGGACCGCCTTTCCCCATATATACCCGAGAGAGCACTTTGGTCGGGGTCTCAAAATCAATTGACCCTCCCTGGCTCAAAAGAGGCCAGGCTTGCTACTACCAGGGCCAGGGCTTTCTTGGTGGCGGCCCCATCCTGGTGGAACGAGCTTTCGGAGGAGATCAGGGCCCTGCGGGACCTTTTGCAGTTCCACAGGGCCTGCGAGACGGAGCTCTTCTGCCAGGCTTTCAGCTAGGGAGCCGCCACCGTTATAGAGCCCTGGCTCTTGGCTTTAACATCCAGCCTGAGCCGCAGGAAGATCTGGAGCAGTAGGATTTTTAGAGAGGACACTGAAAGAAGCCATCTTGAGTAACTATCTTCAGCACTTTATGAAACTGTATTAATAATGGAATTGTTTTATATGGTTTTATGGGGTTTTAGCTGTATTTTATGTACTGATGGTGAGCCGCCCTGAGCCTGCATTGTGGGGAGGGTGGGGTGTAAATATAATAAATAAATAAATAGGTTTTGCTTGGATTCATTGGTTTGACATCGATTGTGGTGGGCTTGCCACATTGGCCTGCGGTTCTGTTGCAGTTATCTAGTTTGCCTTTGTTTCTTCTCAGTTTGTTGGCTCTGTTTGCATTGGAAGGTTTTGTGCCAGTGGTTGCTTTGCTTGCTCTTGTATGTTTGGCTATTCTTTGCCCTGGAGAAACCACGGGACCCCCCCCCCCCCAGGAAACCATGGAGGAGGGCCGGGGGCACTTTGTTTAGGGACCCATATAACTTAATACCATGTTCCAATTCACATGAAAATTGGGTATCTTCAGGGGACAGGCAGCACTAACTCTGCTGTAGTTTTAGTGACATTTGCTCAAAAAAACTGCCCTACCAGCCCCCTGGAAATATTCCCCATAGAGAACGATGGCCTCGAATAATTTTGGAATCCCGAAAAACTCCAAAACCCAGATACTAAACCAGTATTTGGGACCCAAGTAACCCAGAATACAGATGATTATACCCTCCCTGATTTCCAGATCTAAAAAATACCAACTTTTCCCCCCTGGTGCACAAGGGATTTGAAGCGGAGTATTGCCTTCTCCATCCCTACCAGGTCAGCTTGCACCTCAAAGGTGGGTGGGTGTGTCAGTCTTCTTTCTAGGAACTAAAGAGAACCTTGGATGTTTTCTTGCTCTGTAATTGACTTTGACCCTTCTTGTGGGGAATGTGTGAACAGAAATGAATGTTTAAAGATCTTATTCCCCGGTATTGAAATATAGTAGTTCTTGAGGTTGGGTATGACCTTGAAGGGGCTTAACGATGCACAACATTTAAGCAGAATTCTAACTGCAACATTTTCTTCAACAGCATCGGCAGTCGGAAAGAAGAACCCTCATGGTCAAACAGGAACTTCTGCTATGAGTTAGCAAGACATTGATGTTGACAGGTAGGTGTAATAAAATGAAAAATAATTGAAATTGCAGGGTTTTTTTTAGAAATGAGGGGAATCTATAATAATAAAAGATGTCAGGTTTTTCTGTCCATCCATTGCTCCATGACTTGGATAGCTTATTAGAAAATAAAGTTAGGAGTTTCAGAATTGGCTACCAAGTTGAGGATGATTGATGGGAGCTGCAGTGCCAAACGTGAAGAGAAACGGAACATGTTGGCCTGGGTGTTATCTCCAGAAGTTCCCCTCCCACATTTGCAATGGAAGCTAAGGTCTGTTTTGGTGTGCATAATTAAGCCGAAAATAAAGCTGCCAACTTGATTGTCTGCCAGCTTGAACTATGAAAGAAGGGTCTGATTATTATTATTTTTTTGCATAGAACACCTTTTATTAGGGTTAACCAAAAAGACACATAACACTACACAAGCTTGTGAGGACACAACTGTTCAGTCTGATCATGCCTGCTTTGTAAGGCAGACAGATAAGCAATTAGCCTAAATTAATTGCAGAGACGGTGTCACCCAACTGTACATTTTCTGGGAAGCTGAGTTCAGTCCATGTCATCCTTTCAATGAAACATAGAAAACACCCCAAATTGTCCCAAATACATGCTGAAGAGCAACAGGAAACACTTTATAGTCTCTCTTTACAGTGTTTGTAATACATTTAAGGTGTTGCATAAGCTAACAGGCAAGAAGAAGAGGAGACTGGATTTATACCCGCCCTTCACAACCCAAAGGTGTCTCAGAGCGGCTTACAGACTCCCCTTCCCCCTCCGCACAACAGACACCCTGTGAGGTGGGTGGGGCTGAGAGAGCTCTTGACAGAAACTGCTCTTTTTCAAAAACAGCCCTTATCAGAACTACGGCTTGCCCAAGGTCATCCAGCCAGGTGCAAGTGGAGGAGTGGGGAATCAAACCCGGTTCTCCCAGATTAGAGTCCGCGCACTTAACCACGACACCAAACTGGCTCCATAAAAGTCAAGGTTTAAGAGAACGCAGGCTCACCTTGGTCAAAGTTAGCCTAACCACGTGCTTCCTTCAGGCAGTGCTTTTAAGATCAGACCCGAACACCATGGATGGAAGGGTCTTATGACGCAGTGTGCATGGGGGACCCTTCTGGCTCCCCCACAGCCTCTGGTGCCCAGGATGGTGTTGCTGGTGTGTTGTGGGCTGACCTGGAGGCAGGGACCAGGAGACCCTCAGGTCAGGGAGAGAGGAGGCACAGTTGGCATCAAGCCATGGCTTGGCCTCGGACCGGGCCTCAAGAAGAGGAGGACGGTGACCAAGCTTCAGGGGAGGAAAAGAGCCGTTGCGCGGCTGCAGGTCTCAACAACACTGGGACTGTGGCAAGAGGTTTTTTGAGGAGGCCGTGGATGATAACGGTTCCATTCTGTGAAGGAATCTGGAGGGGACCATCCATGACCTGACGATGGGCGCTGGAGGCCAGACGTCTTTGAAAGATGTCTTCAAAGCGTGGTCTTCTAGTGGTTCAAAGTGGCGGACTCTAACCTGGAGAACCGGGTTTGATTTCCCCCTCCTCCACAGTCACAGTTCTCTCAGAGCTCCCTCAGCCCCGTCTACCTGCCTCACAAGGTGCTTGTTGCGGGGAGAGGAAGGGAAGGCGGTTCCAAGCCGCTTTGAGGCTCCTTAATGCAGAGGAAAATGCAGTATAAAAACCTGCTCTTCTTTTTCTAGGGGGGAAAAAATGATCCCCAATAATTACATGCAAGTCTAGCAATTGAGTTTTTTTTAATCTGTCACTTATTTCCAATCACAGTTTCCTTGCAAAGCTAAGGTGATGGGCATGCCCAGTAATGCGAACACTTTGGGAGCACCACCTGTTCTCAGCACTTTCTCATAGCGTATCCCCGGGTGGTGATTGCTTTCAGAACAGTGTTGAACCCCCCCCCCCATACCCCCTCTGGTCCTCATCACAGGGCCTACTGCAGGTGCCTAGTCCACGAATAACCTGTTTGTCATCCATTAGAGCAAGGGCCTTCTCCGTGGCTGCCCCTGCCCTCTGGGACCAGCTCTCTGAGGAGGTTCGAGCCCTGCGGGATCTATTCGGGTTCTGTAGGGCACGCAAGGCTGCCTTGTTTTCGTGCAGCGTTTAATTAACCAAGAGAATGGGTGAGCCGGCCGGCCGGCCAGATTTGTCCCAGAGCGGCTGAATTTTTAATTAGAATCTGCCTTATTGTGTTTATTTGTATTTATCAGTTTTATTATCTTATTTTACGTTTTAATGCTATGTTGTGTTATGTTGTGAACTGCCCTGAGCCCTCTGCTGGGGGGGTGGGGTCCAGGTTATAAATAAAAAAACTAAATGTGCCATGCTGTTGACTCCTGATTATATTTCATTAATAACTACAAAATTACCACGCATTATTCCTAAATTTCTATTCTGGCATGTATTTATTATTAGATTTTTACCCCGCCCTCCCAGCAAAGCCGTCTCAGGGCAGCTTACTCAACCGGTATAAAACACTGCAATGTAACAATAAAATATACAGTATAAGAGCCATCAATACACAATTTAAAACTATAAATATTACAACATATTAAAGTGCTAGTGTATAATATTAAACCTGTTAAGGTGCCTGAAAGAATGATATTTTGTATGTAAAATATTGAACAGTTATAATGAGTCCTAGCTTCTTGTTTGTTTTGTGTTAGTATGTCTTGTAAACTGTGATGTTTGTCTATTTTCTCTGTAGAAAACTAATATGTGTGTGTATGTATGTATGTGTGTGTGTGTGGATATTTACTCTTTTGCTAATGATAAATTCTTCTGCCCTAGGATATTATTTGGAACGTCGCTGAAAATGTCCACTCCCGATCCTCCGATGGGAGGAACGCCTCGCCCGGGGCCTTCTCCCGGGCCCGGGCCCTCCCCTGGTGCTATGCTGGGCCCCAGTCCCGGACCATCCCCTGGTTCTGCACATAGCATGATGGGCCCCAGCCCTGGGCCACCATCAGCGGGGCACCCAATACCACCACAGGGGCCTGGAGGTTATTCTCAGGACAACATGCATCAGATGCATAAGGTAAGGAACTGGAACACTGCTGTGTGTGCATTTCTGGTGGCATCTTCTCATTTCCTTCGTTCCTTTTCCGTTACACAGGAATTGACAAACAGGACGTCGGCTGTGTTGTCTCTCTCTTCCTTCTTCTTCCCGCTGATGCATATGAGAACTCCTTCGTGGTTTTAAGTGCCCTCTAAGAACATAAGAGAAGCCAGTGTTGGATCAGGCCAATGGCCCATCTAGTCCGACACTCTGTCACACAGTGGCCAAAAATACCAGGAGCCATCAGGAGGTCCATCAGTGCGGCCAGGATACTAGACGCCCTCCCACTGTCCGTCCCCCCCCAAACACCAAGAATACATAAGAACATAAGAGAACGTAAGAGAAGCCAATGTTGGATCAGGCCCGTGGCCCATCCAGTCCAACACTCTGTGTCCCACAGTGGCCAGAAATACCAGTGCTCTCAGGAGGTCCAGCAGTGGGGCCAGGACACTAGAAGCTCTCCCACTGTTGCCCCCCCCCCCAAGCACCAAGAAGACAGAGCATCCCTTGCCCCAGAGTCCCTATCTATCCCTTGTGGCTAAGAGCCACTGATGGACCTCTGCTCCATATGCTTATCTAATTTTTTGAAGCCGTCCATGCTTGTAGCCGCCACCACTTCCTGTGGCAGTGAATTCCATGTGTTAATCACTCTTTGGGTGAAGAAGGACTTCCTCTGAGGTTTCAAGTGTGATTTTGGAAATTAATCTGCTTTAATTTCAGAGGGTGACTGTGTTGGCCGGCAGTAGAGCAGTTGGAATCCACTCCAGTAGCACCTGAGAGACCAACAAGATTTTCGGAATGTGAAGGGAGCTTTGACTCTCAAAATCTCATGCCCTAAAATTCTTGTTGGTCTCTAAGGGCTTTACGGGATTCAAATCTAGCTAGTCTGCTTCAAGTGGCATGAACTATATGTTGTCGAAGGCTTTCGTAGCCGGAATTCATTGGTTGTTGTTGATTTTCCGGGCCTTATGGCCGTGGTCTTGGCATTGTTGGGCCTGATGTTTCGCCAGCAGCTGTGACTGGGTCCTCAGAAGTATAACACGGAAAGATGGAGCACTCTCTGTGTCAAGGTGAGAAGAAAAGTGGTAGGCAGGTCATTATCTTGTAGTAATTCCCCAGGCTGTGACATGCTAATGGAGGAGCTTTCCTGAGGAGGTCCTGTCCTGAAAAACACAAAATGCTCTACATCTTACAACAGCACTTCAGATAAGTTTAGAATTTCAACAGCCCATCCATATGCCAAAGAACCTCCTCAGGAAAGCTCCTCCATTAGCATGTCACAGCCTGAGGAACTCCTACAAAGATAATCTGAGCCCTACCCCACCTTCCTGAGTAGATATAAATTACCTGCCTACCATATTTCTTCTCACCTTGACACAGAGAGTACTCCATCTTTCTGTGTTACACCTCTGAGGATGCCAGTCACAGCTGCTGGCGAAACGTCAGGTCCTACAACAACCAATGGCATGAACTATGTTTGTTCCTTTCCCCCTCCCCAAAATGTTCTTCATGGTTAACTTGCTATGGGAAACGTCTCAGGATGGTAGTCTATAGCTTTTTGTGAATTAATTTGTCATTCTTTTTTTAAGAAGAAGCAGGGCATTTCAACTGTATAACTTATTAGCGGCCAAGCTACTCGTTAACGAGTGTTCACAGAGGCCATAAAATATGTAACCTCACATAGAGGGTCCCTGCTTTGTTTCAGTAGCTTGGACACTCATTCTTTTTCCACAGGCAAAGTTTTCTGCATCTTTTAGTCTCTAATTCAAACTTGCTTAACATAACAGCCACGCAGAATAAGCGTCAGATGTTTGAGAGCCACAAGACATGAACAAATATCACACACACATTTTTATTGGGAAAATATGCAAATTTGCTTTTTATTAACATTAAATTAGACTGTGTGAAAGAGCCGCATGCGGCTCCCGAGCTGCCGTTAGTCCATCCCTGGTCTAATTCCTCAGCTAAGAACTCTGTATAGAGAGTCGTTAAGTTTGCGATGCAGACTTTTATCATAGGATAGTAATTGAATGTTAGAATAGTCACACAAGCAGTTCGCAGTAATACCGCTTGCGTGTCCCTCCATATCAAACATTTTGACAGGCTGTTAGGTAAGTGTTTTATTCAGAATGTACAACCAGAGCAGAATACTGAAAAGGCAAACAATGTGGTAAAAATATGCTGTCGAAGGCTTTCACGGCCAGAGTTCATTAGTTGTTGTAGATTTTCCGGGCCGTGTGGCCATGGTCTTGGCATCGTAAGACCTGACGTTTCGCCAGCAGCTGTGACTGGCACCCTCAGAGGTATCACACAGAAAGATGGAGTACTCGACACAGAGAGCACTCCATCTTTCTGTGTTATACCTCTGAGAATGCCAGTCACAGCTGCTGGCAAAACGTCAGGTCCTACAATGCCAAAACCACGGCCACACAGCCCGGAAAATCTACGACAACTAATGTCGTGAAAGTTGCAATGACAAAGTTGCTTGTAAGAATGAAGAAGAGTTTGTGGTATGAATGGGTTTTGAAACCCGCCTCATCTCCCTGCGCCTCCTGTCTCTGCTAGCCTCTGTCCACACAGGTTGCATGATCCCCAGTGTAGCCTTTCTAGGGGTGCCTCCTGTTGTCTTTACCAGCACAGAGCCTAGCAGGATCCAATCTAAGGGTCTATACACTATACATTTGTTGAAATGTATCGTGTATACAGCACCTTTCAAGCATGTGCTGCTGGGAGAGTATTGGGAGGTTTTTTGATGATGCATACATGCAGGAGATTTGCTTTGTATTATTCATTATTAGAGTGGCCTTGATCTAAAATGTGTGAACCTTTATGTGCGGGTATCTGTTCTCAGATAAATGCTTCCTCTTCAGCAGCATGTGTCTGAGCAACAGTATTCTTGTTTGGGTTTATTGTATTGTCAGAGCCAAGGTACCGCTAAGGATGAGACATTAACTAATCTGGGAATTTGGATTTGGATATTCCTCTTACATTGGAAAATCTCTTTCTGAATAGCTGAAGCGCTGTTCTTCCTCTAAAATAGAAAGTGTCTCTCTTCTTCTGTCTGCAGCTAAGACTGTCATTGGCACAAACCCACTCTCTCACATTGGTATAAAAAGGTTGTGGGATTTTTACCTTATTGCTTAAATTTACGGATAATCTTACGCATTTTGACAAGAACTCGTCGCCCTCTAATTTTACCTCTATCTGGCTCCCCATCTTAGAATATTTCACCTCTCAACAGGAAATTCCTAAAGTAATTGATGACTTATGTTTGTGATAAAGCCTATGCACTAAATACTATGTTCTGTATCTCAACTTCCGTGCAGTGATTTTTTTTTTACCAGTCTCTGGTTCTTTTATGTACTACTAACTTGATTTTAAGTTCCATTATAGGTAAAGGTAAAGGTTCCCTTGCTCGAAAGCCAGTCGAATCCGATTCTAGGGTTGCGGTGCTCATCTCCGTTTCAAAGCCGAAGAGCCGGCGTTTCCGTGGTCATGTGGCCGGCATGACTAAACACCAAGGCGCACGGAACGCTGTTACCTTCCCACCGAAGTGGTACCTGTTTATCTACTTGCAATTTCTTGCTTTCGAACTGCTAGGTTAGCAGGAGCTGGAACTAGAGACGGGAGCTCACTCCGTCATGCAGCACTCGGGTCTCGAACTGCTGAACTACCGACCTTCCACAGCTTGCAGTTCAGCTTCTTAACCACTTGAGCCACTGCAGCTCCATTATATGAGCTGTATAAATAAGCTGTGTATTTTTGCATTGTTTTTGTATTTCTGTGATATTTACAAAATTTCTAATAAAATATTGAGGGGGAAGGAGGTCCGTAAGTCAGATGGCAACTTCAGCATTCGTGCATTTCAAGACTAGGTCGTGCTTTGCATCGGGGGAGCGTTTTTGCTCCTCTGAACAGGTTGTGTCTCAATGGGTTTTAGAAGTCCGGTTTCCCCTGTCGTTGCAGCCGATGGAGTCCATGCATGAGAAAGGCCTGTCCGAGGACCCTCGCTACAGCCAGATGAAGGGCATGGGCATGAGGGCAGGCGGGCACGCCGGGATGGGTCCTCCCCCCAGCCCCATGGACCAGCATTCCCAAGGTAACCGCTTTCTCCAGCATGAACGTGGGTCAGACGGTATCAAGGCTGCGGGGCTGACCAGCAGAGCACCAGGAATTTCTCTGTGGTGGCCCCCGCCTTGTGAGGGGCCTGTCCAAGGAGCAACGCTCCCCGTAAGCTGTGGAGCCTTGGGAGCTGCTGGCATTAAAGTTGTGAGCGAGCGATTTGGCTACTGCATAAATTAGTTTGCTCTGGAGCCATCCCTTCCTGAGCTAAGATAAAAACGTGTGAGCCGGAGGCTGAAAAACTGTGAGCTAGCTCACAGTTTTTCAGCCTCCGGCTCACACGTTTTTATCTTAGCTCAGGAAGGGATGGCTCCAGAGCAAACTAATTTATGCAGTAGCCAAATCGCTCGCTCACAACTTTAATGCCAAGTAGCTCACAAAGTAGAATCTCTGCTCACAAGACTCCACAGCTTAGAGGGAGCATTGGTCACCAGAGTTTGCCCTGACTTCCAGGTGCACACACAAACACACGCGCACACACAGACACATATGAGAAATACAAAAAGAAAAAAAAAATAAAGTTCTCACTCCTGACCTCCCACAAACTACGCAAAACCGAACTATTCAAGATGGCTTTTCTGTACAGGTTGATAGGGTTACACTATACAAAACTGTTCACAGAATTACTTGGATAAATGTTTGGGACTTGTGGTCCGTACCGCTATGTATTGCTTATTGTAAGTGGGGTCCTATTATGTCATTTCTGTTCCGCTTAGTGCAGGGGTGTCAAACATGTGGCCCGGGGGCTGGATCAGCCCCCCGGAGGGCTTCTGTCAGGCCCGCAGTGGAACTGGCTGTCTTTGGCTTCTTCTTCCAGTTCTTCTTCTGCTGCTTCATCATAGGTTTGCAGCTTACAGGTACACACCTGAACAGCACACTCAGGATCTCAACAGCACAGACATTTTGATGCAATACTTCAGAGCAAGAGGTGTCCGTTATCAGACACTGTTAAATAAACAGAATATTGCAAGAGTGCTAACCCTAACCCTAACCTTTGTGTTTGTGTCCTTTATAAAGTTTATATCTCCACTACCTGGCATTACATTTTATGACATACACAGCCCAGCCCAACAAGGTCTCATTTATGTCAGAACCGGCCCACATTACAAATGAGTTCGACACCCCTGGCTTAATGGGTCACAGGAGGACTTAGGCTACACTCCAGTTTTGATCCCCTGTTGGTTCTGGATTTGTAATGTCCTAATGCATTAGTTATTGGATGTCCCATTGTGTTGACTGTACCGACTCACGATGTAACCCACCTTGAGTCCCCGTGAGAAAGGCGGTCTATAAAGAGCATAAACAAATTACTGAAAGAGAGAGCACTCTTTTCCAAAATAGCCACAGCAGATAAGATCAACCACAACATTAAAAAAAAAAAAAAAGATCTCACGCCATCCTAAGAAGGGTTACAGTTTTCCAGTCACGGTTGTCATTATGCACCGGTGTTTTGTCATGTGCCTTGTTGATGTTGATCAAGCTAATCAAGTGGGTTTTTAAGCCCCCCCCCTCAAAACGGGGGGGGGGGGGCTACATACATTTGTTCTAAGTGGTCAGGATGGCAGAAGTAGCATATAGCAGGGGTGTTGTAGCCGTTTATTGCCACCAGAGCATCTGGGGATCTCTCCTGCCAGACAGGTCTCTGTGCAAATTCAGCCAATCAGTCGTGTCCTGGGGATTCGTATATTAACAATTCCTAGCTAGTTTTGATGGTGTCCCCGGACCTGGAGGGCCCAGGCTGGCCCCATCTCATCAGTTCTCGGGAGCTAGGCAGGGTCAGCCCTGGTTAGTACTTGGATGGGAGACCACCAAAGGAGTGCAAGGTTGCTACGCAGAGGCAGGCAATGGCAAACCACCTCTGTTTATCTCTTGCCTTGACCCGAATAGCCCAGACTAGCCCACTCGATCTTTGAAGCTAAGCAGGGTCAGCGCCAGGTAGTACTTGGATGGGAGACCACCAAAGGAACTCAAGGTTTCTATGCAGAGGCAGGCCATGGAAAACCTCCTCCGTTTATCTCTTGCCTTGACCTGAATGGCCCAGGCTAGCCCAGTCTCATCAGATTTTGGAAGTTAGCAGGGTCAGCGCCAGGTAGGACTTGGATGGGAGACCACCAACAAAGTCCGAGGTCACTGCACAGAGGGAGGGATTGGCAAACCACCTCTGTTAGTTTCTTGACTTGAAAACCCTACAGGGTCACCATCAGTCAGCTGCAACTTGATGGCACTTCCCCCCACCGTTGATGGTCTAATCACTTCAAGTTCCAATTGTTAATTTTTTAAAACACATATTTCAGTTCCAAAGCATCTGTAAAATAAGAGTTTTGTGTTTGAATACAGAGATTACACAGCAAATTGGGATCTCTCTCTCTCTCTCTCTCTTTTACCAGGCTACCCTTCCCCACTTGGTGGCTCTGAGCATGCGTCAAGTCCCGTCCCGGCTAACGGTCCTTCTTCCGGCCCCCAGATGCCCTCTGGTCCTGGAGGAGTTCCGTTAGATGGGTCTGACCCACAAGCTCTAGGGCAGCAGAATCGAGGCCCGACTCCGTTTAACCAGAACCAGTTGCATCAGTTGAGGGCTCAGATCATGGCCTACAAAATGCTCGCCAGGGGACAGCCTTTACCTGACCATCTTCAGATGGCCGTGCAGGGAAAAAGGCCGATGCCCGGGATGCAGCAGCAAATGCCAACACTACCTCCGCCTTCTGTGTCTGGGACAGGACCAGTGCAAGGACCAGGCCCTGCCCCGGGCCCAACACCTCCGAACTACAACAGACCTCATGGTACGTACAAGGATTTTTTGTGTGTTGGGAGACCACTCTTGGGCAGTGGATGCAAAGTGACCCTCTTCTCCTCTTCTAGACCTATGCCACTTCCTCCCACTGTTGCCCCCCAAGCACCAAGAATACAGAGCATCCCTTGCCCCAGACAGAGTGTTCCATCTATACCTTCTGGCTAAGAGCCACTGATGGACCTCTGCTCCATATAAGAACACAAGAGAAACTATGTTGGATCAAGCCACTGGCCCAAGCAGTCCAACAGTCTGTGTCACGCAGTGGCCAAAACCCAAGTGCCATCATCAGCCAGTTTGGTGTAGTGGTGAAGTGCAGGCGGACTCTAATCTGGGAGAACCGGGTTTGATTCCCCACTCCTCCACTCGCACCTGCTGATGTAACCTTGGGTCAGTCACAAGCTCTGGCACAGCTGTCCTTGAAAAAGAGCAGTTTATGTCAGCGTTCTCTCAGCCCCACCCACCTCACAGGGTGTCTCTTGTGGGGAGGGGAAGGGAAAGGAGTTTGTAAGCTGCTCTTAGACTCCAAGTGAAGGGCAGGGTATAAATCCAGTCTCCTCTTCTTCATCATGAAGTCCATCAGTGGGGCCAGGACCAATGTTTCCTCTAAGCTGAGTTAGCGTGAGCTAGCTCAGTTTTTTAGCCTCCGGGTCACACATTTTTGTCTTAGCTCAGGAAGGATGTCTCCAGAGCCAACTAATTTATGCAGTAGCCAAATCACTCGCTCACAACTTTAATGGCAGTAGCTCACAAAGTAGAATTTTTGTTCACAAGACTCCACAACTTAGAGGGAACATTGGCCAGGACTCCAGAAGCCCTCCCACAGTTGCCCCCCAAGCACCAAGAATACAGAGCATCACTCCCCCAGACATAAGAACATAAGATAAGCTAGTGTTGGATCAGGCCAGTGGCCCATCCAGTCCAACATTCTGTCACACCATGACCAGAAATACCAGGTGCCCTCAAGAGGTCCAGCAGTGGGGCCAGGAGGACACTAGAAGCCCTCCCACTGTTCCCTCCCCCAATCACCAAGAATACAGAGCATCACTCCCCCAGACATAAGAACATAAGATAAGCTAGTGTTGGATCAGGCCAGTGGCCCATCCAGTCCAACACTCTTGTGTCACACAGTGGCCAAAACCCAGGTGCCATCAGGATGTCCCCCAGTGGGGCCAGGACTCCAGAAGCCCTCTCACTGTGCTCTCTCCACAAGCACCAAGATCACAGAGCATCCCTTGCCCCAGACTGAGAGTTCCACCTATCCCTTGTGGCTCATAGCCACAGATGGATCTCTGCTCCATAAATTTATCCAATCCCGTCTTGAAACCATAGCCACTGCCACCACTTCCTGTGGCAGTGCATTCCACGTGTTAATTACACTTTGGGCGAAGAAGTGAGTGAAGGGAGCTACGTAAGAGGAACTGTCTTACTCTGTGTGTTGTGTGTGTGTGTGTGTGTGTGTGTGTGTGTGTATACACACCAATCTATCCAATATGTATGCAGGTATGGGAGGGCCTAACATGCCCCCTCCTGGACCCTCAGGAGTTCCCCCAGGAATG